CACTCCCACTTGCTCGTCCCAGCCCTAGAGGTCGCCTCGATGCTCCGCCACCTGACCAAGCGGTCCCATCACTTCCATGTGACGCTCCCGGTCACGTGCTAATTACCTCCGGCCGCTTGCTGACTGATGCTGGCCTCATGGTGACTCGTATGCGTCCGCACCTTTCGGTATCTTGATGGAAACGAGGGGGAGTGAGTGCTGGAGGGTGGGCATGAGGACAATGCCCCTCGATAGAAGCACCCGCGGGCCCCGGAGCTAATTCATCTAGAAGTTGCATTGGTTAAGTCGCTCCGGAGCTCCTGTTCGCGGAGATAAATCGTGGAATGGGTCCGTGTACGCCTCGGGGATGCTAGGAAGGTCGGAGCTAAATAGAGCAAGTCTTTAGAGCCCATAGAAGCCTAGAGGCGTGTGAGCGCTGTGTCGAATAAGCTCCGGAGGGCTTGTACGATGTGCTGAGTCCGCGTTTTCGGGAGTCAGACGATCCTGAGGCTTATCAACGGGCACGCCCGTTGATGTCTTCCATTTTACTCGGAAACACAAGACCACCGACCACGCCTGCCAGATGTTCTGTAACCCGGCGAGCTTCTCAGGGCTAGTGGATCAAAATGGTAACTGGGTGTTCAATACATCAATCGCGGAACAGACGAATGTTTGGTTTGGGGCATTCCAGTCGATTGTCCGGGAGATGGAGGTTGTACGTTACAACTTTTTCTTGGACGAAATGGTGAAGCGCCGAAACCGCTGGATCGTCGAGGAGCTCGCACGCAAGGGTCACGGGCCATGGCACGTCCCCGCCGATTGTATAATGGGTACGCAAGACATGTAGACTAAGCAGATTTTAGATATATCTAGAAGAATTTACTTTTTCGCACTAAATGACTCTTATATTTTAGTAAGATATATGATATCTTGAGAGCCCACTAAGCACCCGACCCAGCCTCGTCATGGAAGGAGCTAGTATCCAGAATGGTATCATCTTTTCGAGTCCATGGAAGATGTCCGGTATGCCCAGCGCCTGGCATACCTCGTTGCATTCATGAGCCAACATCCACTTCATCATGTCATTCAAACATGCGGTTCCCAGCGGTCCATCCTCGTGCCTGAAGAGTGGATGAGTGACTGTCTGTGCCCAAGCAGTTGCAACCTACTGATAGCTCTCCCAATCGAACAAGACAGCCTCACTAGTTCCTGGGTCAATAAAGCCTGAACGGGATGGGAACACTAGCTTAGCAGATGCCACAGATAGCGGATGGATGATTCAAGAACAGACCTTGAAACCCTAGGAAAACCTGTACACGACCAGAGTGCCACCACGTGAAGTGCGTGAATGCATCAATTGTACAGCTGACCATGTCCACGGAATCTGCTCGCTGATCCCAAATGATGTCGACACGATGAGCATCAATCTCCTCCTCACGCCTGGGCTGAATGATCCAATACGAGACCTCCGCGTCGTCACCAATATCAGGTCTGGACGGTGCAGAGCTGCGGGCCGTCGGAACCATGCGTAAGAGGCCTGTTTCTAGAAACTTGAAAGCTTAACAAACGATAGTAAGTAGGCACGTCATTGGTTAAGTATATATAAGACGTACGGTGAATAATCACACCCTTTGTATGAGCCAAGTGCTTGAACTCGGCCACGGACGTATGGAGTACGCATAAACGGCACATCTCCGCCCAGAGATGAATGCCTTGCATTTTGTTCCACTCTGCAGAAGCAGGGGGAGCAGCGGTCGGAATGAATGATGTCTTCCCGATATATGCTGTGGTTTCACCATGTTCGAGAACATCGAGCTGATATGCCGAAAGAAAACGAGAATGAGAAAGATGCACACGTAGCCACGAGGAGCACCAACGTACCAAGTACAGCTCCTTGCGACGCGATATCTGTATACGTTCCGCTCGGCGCACTTCCAATATATTGGCCCCCGTCCACGGAGGTTCCTGAATACTATACACATCTAGGGGGACCGGGTCAACAACACCAGCCGCCTCAAGCATGTCGCGGTTGGCCTGCATCTGCTCGTGATCGAGCCCAATCACTTGTCGGACACCCTTAAGCAGCATGACTGGCAGTGCACCGTCATCCGCATTCTTGAGCCATCCGGTCACCAGTTCCGTCATGTCATCCTCGCATGATTTGGCAGCGTAAACGTCAAGATCAGAGTACGGCGGAACAGCATCAGTCAAAGCGGAAGGTACTGCGGCATCGGTAGCAGACGACATGGAACTTGGCTTTTGCTCGACGTTCTCATCCGCCTCGTTAGCGTCGACATCGATTACCTCTGCCTCTGTAGGTGGCGGCAGTGCCGCACTGGCAGGCCGTGGAAATGGTTCCGGTAGAGGTGCACCTGCACACGTAATGTCAGTGGATAAGCATACTCGCTGGTATAGGCATTCTGCAAACACGTACCTTGCCTCCGTGCCGCTACCCGTGCCCCCATGCGCCTCGCAAAACTCCTCCAAGTTTCATCACTCGTCAGAGCAGCCACCTTCTCGTTGTCAGGCGCCACGATCCACTCCGACTGACACTCGTAGTAACGCTGTCTTTTATTAGATGGCATTTCGTAACCAAAGACTTGGAGAAACCTGTCCTTGAGGCTAGTGCCGCTGGCTTCTGCTGCGAGTCTCAGCATGTGTTCCATCTTGGGAGCCATATCCCGCAGTTGTTTCAAAGGGAATAGGCCCGGCGGCGTCTTCGAAGAGGGGACCTTCGAGAGGTCAATTGCCTGAGATCCTGACACACATGGTGATGCTGCAGAGGCGGCCTGTCGACTCCTCTTCTCATCGGCCGGAGGGGGAGGTGCGAGAGCAGCCAGAGCACCCTCGTCGTCAGGAGAGCGGGGCCGTTTGATTCCTCCATGGGCGACGCCAAGATAGACAAGGAAGTCACGCAAGTCAGTGACATCTTCAGAAGAGCGCAGGAGGACTGTCCTGTCGGCGTCTTTTGGCAGCTGTAGAACTTTCTCGACAGCGATATCAGTCCATTGCTGGTGGCGGCGGTCGAAAAATTGCACAAAGCTGTCGACTCGAAGTCCTAGGTGTTGGAGTTCTCGGGTATGGTCAAGCAACTTGAATATACCCGGGACGATACAGGTGAGGAGGCAACACTTAGGCTGCTGCCCATTCTGAGAGTGTGTGAGTACGTGCACTTCGCTGGCGCCAGGTGCCTAAAAAGCGCTCACCTCGTTCCAGAAGAGGACACGGACTTCGCCGTCGATCTCTAGCTGGCGCCTCCGTGCCAGACCTGCCATATCCGCGGCCTTCTTGCGGGCATCATTCCTCTCGTGGAATGCTTTCGCATAGTCAGGGGGGAGCGCACGAGAATAGTCCTGACGAGCTTTAGCAACCGAGGACTGGTCACGGTCGCCATTTGCAGCCGTCTGGGTAAGGACTTGAGTCATAGATAGACTCTCCTTGGGAACTGATGCTGGGATTGCGAAGGATGGTTGGACTTGCAAGTCCGTAGCAGGAGTCCTGTGCGGAATCATGGGGTAGTCTCGTTCTGTGAGCTTGTGTTCCTTACAACCGCCGGCTTCCCGACAGCACGAAGCACAAAGCTTCGGCACCCTGAGACATTTCTTCGAAGCTATACGTGGTGTTCCCTTGAAGCTTCTGCATCCTGCCGCACCGCACAGGATGCTCTCAGAGCCCTGCGTGATTGGCTGGGAAGCCACCGGAACGTCGACCGTGCTTTGATGAGCACCATCAGCAGCCATAGATGGTCCTGCATGGTTTGAACCCATTTGCTGTCGCACTAGCTTTTGTTGAATGTGGGCGGGTAGTCGTGAAAATTGTATGATAGGAGTTATGTTGTGGTGCTTTTGGCAGCTCGGGCAGTAGGCCTTCCAGCGTCCATAATTCTCTGGATTGGAGGTACCAGCGTTGAATGTGGCTTTACGTAAGAGCACACCACACGTCGGACAGACAGCAGTACGGGCGTCATGCGGGAAAGGGTCCATGGTCCCAGTAGCGTAAAGGATGCAAGTCAAAATAAAATGATTTAGCTGTTGACTAGTACTACCTACTATACAGGACACGGAAAAGGAATTATGCCTCTTGACAGGGGCGGGTGGGCGGCGCAGGACAGCGCCAGCATCCTCGGGCGGGAAGGCCATAACAGGCAAGAGTCGGGGCGGTAGATTATCGATCCGGATGCAGGCCGGCGACTCAAAGGACGCACGGACAGTCCGCGGACAACTGACAGATTATCACCTGGACAGTCCACGGACACCTTTGGGATAAGTGCATGACGTGTCCGCGTACTGTCCGCGTACTGTCCGTTCCCAGTAACTTATACGTTCTGCGCTACTGGGACACAAATGCCCGTCTCAAGGCTGAATAACACTCAGATCTGTATCTCTTCAGCATATCGAGCACGCAAAGGTCAAAATCCCACAAGAACGACCCTCATACATGGATGTCGAAGCGTCCCGCCAACCAGTCAACAGCCCGCACTATGGTGATCGACTACCCCATATAGGTTTGTTTGGCTGGCACAAACAAAATTTTGCGAATCGCGGTTTCCGGACTTTTATGCAAGGCACTGTAAGACTTCGTGCGTCTTTCATGTACAGTGGTGGTTCTTTCTCTGCGAATCAAGAGATTACCTGGTCTTTGCTTGTGTGATCTCGCCTTTCGTAAACGAACTACTCGTATCCTGTTGAGAACGTCTAAGTCCTCTTAGCTGAGTCTCAACATTTTTTGACCTTCTTTAACTCTTGCTTCTGACCTCGACGTCGTTGCGGCCTGATCAACCGTCTATCGGCTGTCGTCGTGTTTTACAGGTATACCTAGGGTTATAACTATGCCGGCTAGAAAGACGAGAATGACTACTCGTCGAGGTATCCCAGGTGAGTTGGATATTGCTTCGTTGGATAACTCCGCCGCGAACGTCAGTGTCGCGAGCGTTGAGGAAGTCGACTCCGCCCCTGCACCAGGTGCTGCAGGCGAGCGCGTTGAGCCGCCGTCCGTTCCCTCGGTAGGGAACGCTGACGCACGCCCCGTGGTTCACGGTGAGGCAATGGTAACTAACGGGACCGAGGCTCAGTCTGTATTGAGTGGTCATCCCTTATCAGGCACCGAGGGACCAGGCGCTCCTTCGTCGCCGCCGTCTTCGCGCACCTCGACCCCTTCCTTCACACTTCGGCGAGTAGACTGGTCTGAGGTTCGAGAAGATGGAGATAATGTTGGAGGTGGTATCCCCGCTTCGTGGTGTGATAGAGTTAATCTACAGCCTAATATGTTAATTGATATTTTGTCTGGTATCGAGGATGCCAATGAAAG